CCGCTACTGGCGGCCCAGGTTCGGATCCCGGACGAGCACTGACGCACTGCGTCTCTGGCCATGCTGAGGCCGCGTCCCACATGCAGCAACTAGAAGGATGTGCAACTATGACATACAACTATCTACTGGGGCTTTGGGGGTTGGGGGGCGGGGAGGAGGAGGATTGGCAATAGATGTTAGCTCAGGGCTGGCTGATCTTCCTCACACACACACACAAAAAAAATAAAAGTCCTATGATCCCAATCTGCTTGACCTAATCAGCCAAGAATGCTAAAAACCTAACAGTAAGTTTTGTGAGCATCAGTGGCAAGTTCACAGTCAGTGCTCAGAGCTCCGTAGACTTCTACTAGCAGAGCAGGTGGTTGAAGAGTCCTCCCAGTCACCACAGAGAAGATTTAACAAGTAAAAACCTGCAAACTCTTTATTAAATTCTCCCATTTCATCTGTACAGAAAAAAATGCACATTATGTTCAGAGTCTCAGTAACATCTCAAAATTACACAGCATGAACATGTAAAAACAAGGAACTGCTGGGATTTTATACATAGAAAGGAAAACCATTTACAAAAGAAGCTTGTTAATTTTACTTTCCTTTTTTTCTTAAAAAAAAAAAGTTAAAGGCCTAAGATCTCACACAGCATTTGCTGTACGGTCTGTTTTCCTGTGGGGACTGACCTGGGAACATTGTGCTGGGAGAAGCCGCTCAGGAAGCCTCCTGCTGCCAGCTCTCCTGTCGGCCATTCCATCAGTGCACTGCAGTCTATCCAGGGACCTGTGCAAACCACCCTAGCATGTCTGGCATAGGGCCTGCGGAGCTCTGGGGTCCAGGTGTCAATTCTATGTTGGAGGGAAGGCAAAAACAGAATACAGAGGCACTACCTGAATTTCCTCCTTGCCCAGGGAGATTTCTCCACTGCACATATCCCAACATCCCTACCTGTGCATTGTGGTGGATCTTGGGAAGGGGGAACGAGAGGAAATCACCATCAGGACCCTGTGACCACCAGCCCGAGCAGACAGTCCCACCTTTGTGCTCCAGATGACAAACAGTCACTGGGCTTCCACACTGATCTCACCAGATGGCCTGGGGGAGCCTGTCACTCTGAAGAGTCAGTCTGGGTTTGCTAATGACTTATCTATTATTTGAGGTCTGGGCAGGAAGGGGGATTTGACTTCAAACTTGACCACCCTAACATGTGACCCTGGTCCTAGTGGAGAAGAGGAGTATAGTTAGAGAGACAGCCAACCAAAGACAAAAGAGAGAGAGAGGAAGCCCAGAAGATCAGCTCAAGAGCAGTGGGGGAGAGGTGAATCAGGAGAGAAGTGTCCCTAAAGGACCAGGAGAAACTCAGGGCACTAGAATGCTTATTTTATAAAATTACTTAGGTTCTGCCCAAATGGTGAGAAATAAAAGGGATCTCTGAGGTTTTTCAAATTTGATCTTTGAGGTTTCTCAAATTCCTAAGAATCTGAAATGCGAGTAAACGTATCAAAATTCACATGATTCAAAAAGCCATATTCCTTTTGTTCTAAGGCCAAAATTTAGGTTGAATGTGTCAGGCTGGGTTAGCTGGCTTCCAAGGGTCCCTACTTCAGCTTCCTTCTCCATATCTGCTTACTTAGAATAAGTTATATGTGGAGAACGTTTATTTTTTGGTTGGGGAGGAGAAGAAATGGAAAGTGAAGGCCTTTTCTCAAAGGAACTTGAGACCAGCTAAGGAGGTCCCAGGAAGCAATCCACCGCTCCCCGGATGACTCACTACAGTGGGGATCTTTGGGCTAGAGGCAGTACCACAAGCCTGGAGGTGGGGAGGACGGGAGCCATTTCCAGAAGACACACTCACATAGGAGAGTAAATCTTTTCTTGGGAAGGTAGAGGGAAGTCAGCACATAACTCCCTTTCCTCTTTGTCTGATAAAATGTAAATGGATGCCTCAGACCTCTTTACCATTGGATTCTTCTATTATGTGACCTCAAGAAATGGGAAGAAATGAAATCGGGTAGTAATTTTTTGTTGCATCTTCTAGGAAATCAGAATCTCCCTCCTTCCCCACCAGCAGAGCTGCTTGCTGTCCCCAAGAAGAGTCAGTGCAGGATGTGAGAAAGCCAAAGGCCTGCAATGAACTCAAGTCAACACTTGCTCACTAAATACTAGAATTCCCCTAGCTTCTAAGGACGCACTGGCTCAGAACAAGCTGACCAGATCCACAGAACTGGGACTGGTAGTGGAAGCCAGAGGTCTCTAGGGAATGCAGAGAACGGGGGCTTTCCTGCTGGGGCTTTCCTTGGAACCCAAGCCTTTGCTATGGCTTCCATATTGGCACATCTCACTAGCAGACTTCTCTTGTGACAGCAGCAACAGCAGAGGGAGGGCAGGGATGCACCAGGATAAAGGTCTCACTCCTGGAGCTACCCTTTTGTGGGTAGCTCCGTTAGAGGGAGCAGTCGGTCTTGTTCTTGATGTTTTCCCCAGATTTCTGATTTCCTGTATCGCGGAGCCTCCAGCCCAGGAGACTGATCTGCTGGTGCCTCTGGAGTGTTGTGGAGCACACTAAGTATGAGTCCCTAACACACTGGAGTGAGCTGACAAGGCCACATGAGTTATCTAGCTACTATAATTTTCAGCAAGTGTCTAGAGCCTTGCTTACGTTATTGTTCACGGGCTAGACATCAGGAGACGAGATAAAGACCAAGGTCCAGCATTAGCCCCTCCACTAGGGCCATGGTTTCCTCTTCTTGACTAGTTGATTTGTGTCAACTAATCAACTTTGACTAGTTGAATGTGTCAGGCCAACACAGCCTGACACATTCAACCATGACTGACCTATGAGGCCAGTAATCAGAGGTGCCCCAGAACTGGTTTTGTTATACCAAATGGGGTATAGAATACGGTTGGGCTGCACGTTCAGATGGTGCTGGGCCCCTGAGATGTAGAAAACTGCTCAGGAACACTAACTGGGACCCTCAAGAACCAGTCATATGAAACTATTCCAAGTACGATGGTGAAATGCTTCCTAGCAACCAGCAATTGAGGATACCAGCAGTTATCCCTTCTATTCTGACCATTTCTAAAGATGACAAATGTTTCAAGAATCAAACTCCTTTTCAAACTTCCAGATCTGCTGCAGACAACGACTGAGATTGTCTCTCAGTTCAAAAAGAACAGAAACACCGAGACACATTCAACTATGGAGATGTTTTACATATACTGGGAGGGAGACTGCAGAGATGGAGAAATACCCCCCTTCTCATCAAATGGTGAACATTTATCCTATCTTGTAAATCACACCAGACATGTCAGTGCGGGGCCTACATTTAGATGACATCCCCAGTGCTTGAACCCAAGCCCCCACCACCCAGATGGGAACCCCTGGAGGTGGATATCTGCACCAGCTCAATTCAGTACAACAGTGGTGGCAGTAGGGGGGTGTTGCTCAGACTCCAAGAGTTTCAAGTTTTATGAGACTGAAGAATCCCAGGACAGTTGCTGAGAATCAGGAAGACCCTAAGAGCAGGACTGAGTGGACCAAGCAGCTTAGCAGCTCCCTTTGGAGACCTGCAGTACCCTAGGCAGGGGGGATATACAGCTGGCTTCTGGAACCCACTGCCTCCAGGAAGGCTAGCAAAAAGAAAAAAGAAAGAAAAAGAAGAAAACCACAGTATTCAAATGTATGTCAGTCAGGTTAGACAAGGAGTAATTTGGATCAACTGATCCACAAATTGACCCACTTCGTATTGAACACATTTCGGGGAAGACGTTGCGTAGATCTCGCAGCACATGTGGACAGTGGCAAAGGAGGGGCAGGGCAAGGAAGGGTGCCATGGTTTATGTGGACAGTTTTAGGCACGTGATTTATAACACTTTGTGGACGTCTAACAGGTTAATAAAATATATATTATATAAATATATCTCCTACTGTACATGCCGCCCTCTTGTGCAGCCACTGTGACTTCAAGACCCAAACTCAAGCCAAGGTGTGCCAGGTCGAACCGTGATGCCTGCATGTCTCCCTCTTTATACTCCAAACCTGTCATCTCCACACTGGAGGGATGAGGGAGGACAGCCAGGAATATTGCTTCTGTAAAGCTCCGATTCTGGAAAGACTGATGAATCATCAAAGTACAACATAAAGCCAATGCCTACTACAGTGGGTGTATGCAGCAAATGGACAGAAAGGAAAAATAAAATGGACAAAAGCCTCCATCTCTTAATGTAATAACTTTCCACACCCTCTCCACATAGAGCCATAAAGGACCTTGTCTGGGAAGGCAGCCTTGAGCCTGCAGAAAGGTCAGGTTGGACCGCCAGTCACACCCTGAGACCACGCTAAAGCTTTATAAGCCATTGTCTCTGACCTGCATTGTTGCCTGAAAAATAAAGCAAAGTGAATCAATCCCCCACTCCTTCTTCCTGCCCTGAGCCCCCTGCCCCCTCAGTCACTGCCTCTAGCAAAGTGGAGGATTTCTGGAGTAACTGCTACCCCGGCAGGGTCAATCCGAATGTGACTGAGACCTGCGCTAGCCTGGAGGAAGAATATTACTGGGCTCCTGCTGCCTGGACTCAGGGGCCAGCCTCTCAGTGCAGATCAGTGGACCGACCAGCTTCACACACTTTTGACCCCTTCCCCAACCACTTTCCCTTGGCCTAGGGAAGCTCGTGCTTTACGTCACTGAGGTGGGCAGATCACGGCCCTGGAGTCTTGATCAGCAGTGGTGCTATTAGGGTGGGAACTGGAAGGCATCACTGTTTCAGCAGAAGAAAATAAGACCCAAACCAGGATAGTTAGTGGTTTCCCACTACTCGGTGAAGTCCATGGCCCAAAAGTGTTTTTGAGAAATGAGCAAGACATCCCAGTTATAGCATATTGGGTGGTGCGTTTCCCCTCTAAAGTCCTGCCTTCATTTTACAGAGTCACACAGAAGAAATAACCCCAATGCCCAAATCAAGCCTGGAGATGTGTTACTATATACATTTTTTTCTTTCTCTAAAAATTCTGGGGCTTTTTTTGTGTTTTTTTTTTTTTTAAAATCACTTGAGTTGCAGGTCAGGTGAGTTGGTTCTGGAAGTATTGGTAGTTCCATTGGTATGAAAGAGAATTGTCTATAGGCAGGTAAACCCAAGTTTGCCAACAAAGGCAAGAACCAAAGCGGCCAGCTGCTGATGCTGCACAAATGGTCGAGAAGGAGGAGGACACCATGGACATGGGCGAAGTCTGAGATGGGACAATGCAGTGGATACCTGCTGCTGCTCTAACATGGGTGTTGGTGTCACCTCTTAGAAGAACGAGGTGAGTGGGTACACTATACAGGAGGGCTGTACAAACTGGGCACTGGACGGGTAGTTCCTTTGGTGGTCAAGGTGGCTCTACCTGTCCTTGAGCTCTCGTGTCACTCGCTTAGTGATACGTCCACACATCAGGCCAATCAGGAACAATATACAGATGCTACCACTGATCACAGAGAGAATGTAGTTCTTTGACGGGGATGTCATCACTTGCATGGCGAGGTCAGAGAAGCCATCCGCTGGGGCCACCTGGAACGACACATGGCAGCATCATCCTCTGAGAGATTTGGGTGTGGCCCCTGCTAGCTCTAACTTGCCCCCCTCGATTCCTAGTTTAATTTATGTCATTTGTTTCACGGAGAGAGGGCAAGGACAAGAAAATCAAACATAGAGCTAAAATCTTTTTCCTGACCATAATACTGTATGTATCTACCGCCCAAGATTAGAAGATACAGACAAATACAAAGAGGTGGAGTCTCATACAGTTCATCATAGCCAACATAATAATAGCCTTCACACCGAGGACTTGATGACGTGTTGGGCCCTGGCAAAGGGCTAGATGTGTTTTCAACCATTTAGTCCTCATGGCAATCCTTGCAAATAGATTTTACTACTCCCATATTTCAGATGAAGACCCTGAGGCCTGAAGGTAGGAGGTGGCTAAGTGACTTGCACAAGGTCACAGGTTCTTAGGTATTCTGATTTATTTTCTTCATCATGTTTGCTACCTTTTTAAAAACAAAGAGAAAAGCTGAGATGGCGTTGGGGGCTAATTCTATATGTTGACTTGTTTTCACTCACCATTATGTCATAAGCATTCCCCCTATCAAAACCAATGTGCAAACATGACTTATACTGACTGAATCTACTTAACCACTCCCCCAGTTGTGGACATTGATAGTCTAACCAGTTTTCATCCTCAGTTTCCCTCACTGCTTTCTCAGATGGACCTCTATGGTAGCCTGCTATGGCAGAATCAGGACTGAAAGGTTTGCCAGGCACACACGAACCTGTTCTTTTGAGTCTCACCTTAGCCTGGGTGCCTGGGAGGGGTCTGGGCTGCTTCTATGCTCATTCCACGTACACAGAACAGAGCAGGGAGGCTTCAGATTATGGCAATTTGAGCACCAACATTTGCCAACACAAAACAAGCAGTGGAGTTACTCTGAAGCAATGCTTAGCAACTCGAAAGTGGAAACCAGCGAGGAGAGAAGAGATTAATTTAGTGTCATTGCTCATCTGACCAAGGGCTTCAAAGCTGACTTTGCTTCCTTTGAAGGGGTAAGGGGCATGCTTGCTATGTGGACAGCAATGATTTCTTCCTCTCATCTCTCTTACACCTAGGTGTGAAGACTTTCTGTGGTCTTTCCCGCTTGCCTGTTACCCTTGACTTTTAAGCAAATGGGTGACAGGAGGAATTGGGCAAGAAGGAGGGGAGTTCTCGTGGTCACTCTCTTGATCTAAGGTAACTGGGAAGGTCCATCTCAGTGTGGGGTGATACAAAGAGCATGGATCTAGAAATGACTTTTTCACCAAGGGACCTTGAGCAAGTCATAATCTCTGAAGTCACAGTTTCCTCCACCAGAAAGTAAAGAAATGATCATTCCACTCACCTCGAAGGGTTTCAAGATTCAAATGAGGTAATATATCCATCAAAGTGTTTTATAAACTACAAAGCAATGTATACATGAGAAGAAGTGTTATTGTTCTTCTCACTGAGGCTGAATTTTTGTAGGAAAAATTTTCTCCAGCCCAGGTCTGCCTGGGTACCATAAATATTCACTAGTGTCCTGAAGTCTTTCATTATCCTATTATTCTCCATGTTCCCGGCTAGCTGAGGGCTAGTCTCACATACATATTCTTCCCCCCAAAACTATAAAATTAGAAAAACAAGCTTTACGACAGACAGGCTGGATTTCTTTCTTTTCCCATGGGCATGCTGTCTCATTTCTCTTTGCATGGTTGGCTTAAGTCATCTCCTTCCTTTGGGTGACTCACTTTTCAGTGGTGGACTGTGGGCAACTGAGGGCAGAAAGTAGTGGCCTTGGCAAAGCCTTGCACACACAACTCAATGCAAAGGGAGATGATGGCTCCAGGCTCGCAGATAGCCAAGGGTCTTATAGGTGCGCTGACAGATTTTTCAAATACACTTACTGCCAGTCTCACAACAAAGACAAGGAGACCAGTGAAGTATCTCACAGAGACTAGAAAATTGATAGGAGAGATGGCCACTTCGGGAGATTCTCTTGGTCATTACCTTTGCTGCATAACTCCACATTTCAATCCGGTCATTGAGGCGTTTTTTGCACTCAGGTTGTAACCTCACTCGCTTATCCTCCAAGGCCTCCATGAGGCAGGACATTTCTGTGGAAGGAAAGAGGTAAGAAGAAGAGTCTGAAACAGTACAGAAGAGAAATTTCTGTAAGGTTGGGGAGAAGGGTACCTAACTACCAGAGAATTCAGATCTGTAGGCTACACAAAGTTCAATCCATTCTAGGAAACTGAACCCAAGATCTAACACGGAGAAGAATATTTAACTTTCAAGGATGGCTGTCCAGAGCCTCTCTCAAAATCTCTCTTTTTTATTGGGCACGCATGGCTCAGAAACAACTTTACACCTACCCAGGTTGCACTTCACATAGACTTATCTGTTGAGCCCAGTGTGGCCACTGGGGAAGTTGAAGAAGCTGGTCTAGTTTGGACAAGGGGTAAAAAGGGCCATGATGATGTCTTAACTTTCGCTTCCTTGACAAATAACTCAACTTTCCCTTCTCATCGAATCTTTACCTCTGGTCACGGCTAGGTCAGTTCAAACCTGCAGGATTATTCCTAAATTCATTTTGCCACAAAGCCTTATTCCCAGCATCAGTCAGGACCCCAGGGGATGTTGTCTATGGTTGAACTGAAGCTACAGAACAGAGTAGCAGCAACTGATGTCTCACAGGGAGTCTTTGCTCCCCCCAAGATAGTTCAGACAGTGTCAACGGGAACACAGTGACTTACGACGCCCTCGGCCAGGGGTGATGGCTGCACAGTGGTGTTTAATGTCCAGGGCACAAGCTGTATGAAGAACTGGGTCCACAAAGATGTCTGCTTTGCTTTCCTTCAGCATGTTTAATACTTCCTAGGAAGAGAACATTATTGTAGAGAGAGCTTTTGTAGAGAAAATGCATCAGATCTGTTGTCTATAAATACTTTATATACAAGCAAAAAGTTAAGGAGGGAAGGTTGAGTCAATAGACCCTACTGTGAGATAGGCGGCAACATGATGATGATGCAAAAAAAACCCGCAGATTTTTAGCATCCAATTTAATTCAATAAACAGACTTGCATACATTTCGTATGCAAAGCTGTGTGCTAAGCAAAGCAGGGGACTGTAAGATCAGATTTCGGTTTTTGGCATTCTGGTATGCCATATTATTAAATACTAAATGTTAGTTTTTATATTTGTTTAATACAGTTACTTTGTTACTTTAAGAAGTATGAAAATGTGAAATCTGAAAATCAGAGTAATATGCTATATTAAAATTCCCAATCAAAGGTCTATTTGCTTGCAAAATGTTTCACTTTACCTCCATTACCATCAAAAGGAAAAAATGAATTGACAGAGGGTAACTTCCACTCTAAGAATGATTCTCATCTGAGTTTAAAGATGTTCTGAATGAGACGAATATGAACATGATAGAACTTAAATCAGCTCTGCAGACTCTCCATTTATACATGATGAAATTACAGGACGTAAAGACAGGCCAGAAACACTTTCTTAAATAAAAATTAGTTTGCCCTCAATAGAAAGACTGTAATCCCCGTAAAACAACAATAAAAACAAAAAACCAAAAAACAAAACTCAAATATGGTTCAAAAAGTCCTTCTCAAAGTTAGATGGGATCATTTGATGACAAAGTAGTCTAAGGAAAATATCTGGATTTAGCTTTTAGCTAGCTCCTACCATTTCTCAGACCATGTAGAATCAGAAACATTTTTAGCAGATGAAAATATCTGCTAAATGTGATATAATGCATATAATGTCAAATATTGGAATTGATATTTTGCTTTGGTATAGCACTCACAGTGCCCTTAAATAACGGTCTAGTCATGGGGATGAGACATACTCACAAATAATTAGCAAGTGTAAAAGAATATTTAAGTTATAGGCAATTAATGTTCAAGAACCAAATTAAAGTTTGGTAAGAGGAAACAGAGCAGAATGCTGAAAAGAAAGGTTTAGATTTTATTACTAAGGAGTGCAGACTGGGGCCAGCCCGGTGGCATAGTGGTTAAGTGCATGCACTCCGCTGCGGCAGCCCAGGGTTCGCAGGTTCGGATCCTGGGCGCGCACTGACACACCGCTAGTCAAGCCATGCTGTGGCGGCATCCCATATAAAGTAGAGGAAGTTGGGCATGGATGTTAGCCCAGGGCCAATCTTCCTCAGCAAAAACAGGAGGATTGACAACAGATGTTCGCTCAGGGCTAATCTTCCTCAAAAAAGAAAAAAAAAAAAGACACGCAGACTATAGTATTATAAGGAACAAGAGAAAGAGAAGAGAAAAGCAAGTGGGGGAAAAATGGTGATTGACGGTGGTTACCTTTTTACACATTTCCGTTTTGATTTTGAGCAGGTTAACTTTGAGGCACTCCTCTACTTGACCTGTCTGCTCCTGGGCTGCTGCTTCTTCAGCACACAGATTGGAGATCTGTTTAGGGGACACACCAAAAATAAGCCCACCCCTGTTTTCACCAGAAACCTTGTTTCTGAAATGTGTTGATTTGGTGATCCTCCCACACATGTGCCCAGGGCTCTTCTCAAACAGATTCCTGGTGGATTTCTCTCCCCTCTCTCCTGTATGGGATGCTAGGCCCCGTTCTCCTTCACAAGGACTGGCACACAGAGTCAAAATCAGTTAATGCATATATCTTTATGTTGTCAACCCTGAGATTTCAGTCGTATTGTCCCAGGACTGGTCACAAAGAAGACTACTCCCTGATTCCACATGAAGTTTATACAGCCAAGTAAAATACCAGAAGCAAATGCTTGACATTTACAGAGGTTCAGTCAACTCAGACTCACAACTTGGAAACACAAACACAGGTCCTGAAACATAGCCTGCAGCACAGATTAAAAACATAACCTTCTTTGGACAGCTTTATGAGTAAGCTTCTTTGAAACAGCTTTAGCTATGATCCCCTAAAATTGACATATATTGAACAACATTTTTCACACGGCCTTTTTTAGCTAGGAAGTCACTTCCAAGGATAGGCACTTCTTTTTTTTTTTGGTGAAGAAGATTGGTCTTGAGCTAACACCTGTGCCAATCATCCTCTATTTTGTATATGGGTTGCTGCCACAACATGGCTTGATGAGTGGTGCAGGTCCACGCCTGGGATTCGAACCTGCGAACCTGGGCCGCCGAAGCATAGGGCACCGAACTTAACCACTATGCTACTGGGTTGGCCCTAGGATAGGCACTTCTTTATAGGAGCACTTCTATCTTTCTGGCAAGTCTTGAGGGTGTTCTGGTTGACCATCAGAATAAGGAGAAGGGAAGAACAAACTATATGTAGATAGATACAATAAAAGAATACTCTTGTTCCATAGAGAATTATGGAACCAACATTGTACAGTGACAGGACTAATGCCAAGTCTAACGCAGTGTTACAAAGAACCAGGAACTCAGACAATGGAGAGCCGAGAAGATGGGCCTTCAACTAACCCTGGATTCAGAGCTGAAGGGAAAGAGAGTAGAATAAACAACTTTTCTCCAGTAAAAACTTCTCTGAGGGCCAGCCCCGGTGGCCGAGCAGTTAAGTTCAGTGGCCTGGGTTTGGTTCCCAGGCATGGACCTACACCGTTCATTTCTCAGTGGCCATGCTGTGGCAGTGGCTCACATAGAAAAAAAAGAGGAAGATTGGCAACAGACGTTAGCTCAGGTGAATCTTCCTCAGCAAAAAAACCAAAAAACTTCTCTGTTCTCAACCAGTTTCATACTCAAATCCTACCTCATCTGAGCAGTGTAGCTGGAGCTGAGGATCAAGTCGGTAATCTAGAGCAGACTCCTGGATAATAATCCGGATCTGGTCTTCACAGTCTGAAGAGAGGCGCTACATGTGACAAGGGGAGAAAAAGTCAGCCTATTAGACAACTTCAGCTTTTTATTTCGCCCTGGCCTGCGGAAGGTATGAAAAAGGTCTTGGGGAAGTAGGAGCAAGCTAAGCATTTCAAAGAAAAAAACTGCCAGGAATAGTGGTGGCTCCATAAATACACCTCTGTGGAAAACCCAGGCCACTTTACCTGGTCAGCATATCTCAGCTTGAGGCAAGAGATGACTTGACCTTCTAGCTCCGAATCATCCTTGGCCTTAGTCAGGATACCATGACAGAATTTAGGAATGTCAGCTTTACAGGCTTTCCTCAGCACAGGGTTTAAGCGGTAATCTAGAGCAGAAAGTGATAAGTACATGACAAAATATTCCACCTGGATTCTCAAATTTTGAGATTCACCTTCCAAAAGGGGGCATATTATGGCAATGACCATGAATAAACCAATGATTTGTTTATTTAATAAATGTTTAGTGAGCTCACACTACAGTGTTTTTAATCAGCAATAGAATTCAGTGCAAGAGTGGATGTGGAGACCCCCAGGAATCCTACTCTGCAGCAACTCTGCAGGGTTTGTTCAGACCAAGATTTTAAGCAGTCCTCACAAAAATCAAGCAGACATCAGCAACTTTCCCCATAATATATTTTTGAAAACAGAATCTGCAACTCACCTTGTCCATTAAATTACAAGGTCTTGCAATGCAGAGGTGAAATTTCTCTGTTCTAAAACAGATTACCCATATATTCTCCTACCACATGCATGAAGTTTTATTAAATCTCTAGATGTTTCATGGAATGCTAGCCCCGATTCCTTTTGTACGCCCTTCAAAGGCAGTTTTCTATTTTTTCAGACTCCTCTTGCACATGACTTTCATTCTCTTCTTCCGGACACTCTTTAAGGAAGGAGTAAGTCGTTTTGCTTACATTCAGACTCTTCCCTTAAAAATTCACGATCAACAAACCACCTATAGTTTAACTATGCAAGTATATTGCCCACTTAATTCCATTTATGCTGTACTTAATGGGACCAGGACAGCCAAGCCAAGATTTTACCTGTGTTTTGGGTGATCTGGCGCTTGGTTATCATCTGTTTGCATTTGGGATCCATCAATTCACTGTTTTTATTTTGCTTCAAGCACTGCAACATGTTTTTGGAATCTGCTTCTGGACAGAACCTCTGCAAAGAAACAAAGTTTTATAAAAATAGCTATTCAAATACAACAATTAACATCATCTGTATCACTCTTACATCTATTGAGGAGCTTATGACAAGCAGCCAGAAGGCATCATGTGGTACAAGACAACTGGCTAAGCCTGAAAAAGCACTCAGTCTCAAGTCCCCCTTTCTTTACCTAGTCTCTGTTATATTTCTCACATTTCTTTCTACCACCTCACTGTTTCCTACTCTCTGTAGGATTGATTCCCTACCTACATGGCTATGTTACATTACATGGCATCTCATGAGCTTAAATCCTGTTTAAGCACGAATATAATGTTGTACCAAGTGGCACGTAGTCCTCAAGCCGAATCTACCCAATCCCAATGGGAAACTTAGCAATTACTCACCAACCACTGTGAACAGAGATGTGGGGAAAGGATCCATCTGGTTCATCTGTTAACTATAGGGGCTATAATTCTACCAAACCCTGTGGGGCTAGCCCCTGTACACTTGTTAGTGTCCTTGAAGTCAGAGATACATTTTGGACTACTAATAAACTCTATCTGCTAATCCACAGTCTATCTGCTAATTATAATCTACTGATATCTTAATATGGGGACATGGATTGCTGATTGATTTTTATAAGTTATCTTATAGGGAGTGACGTGAGCATCATGGCAGAATGAGCTTCCCCCATTGAACTCTCCCCCTCTAAGACACAACAAAAAGGACATTCATATTCCAACAGAAGCTATTCACACAACACAGGGGACATCTGAGGCACCCAGGCAGCCGTACACCTAAGGACGGAGGTGCTAGAATCCTCAGAGGAAGTGGAAGGAGGTAAGAGGAGTCCTTCCCCAAGGACTGTGACCCAGAGACTGAGACCATGAGGCTCTCAGAGGAGGGGGATGGGTGGCTCGCCACGTGAAAACCAGCGCTCTCCAAGACCCCTCACGGCCCGAGGGGATACCCCTATGGAGGGAGTAGAACAGTTGCAAGGGTAGTTTCAACAAGCTAGCCCCTCAGGAGAGCAGAGAGTGACAGAGAGGTGAGAAACCTCTGAGATCAGGGAGGTGAAAGTACCCGGCCCGCCCAACTGGCACTTCAGCACAGCGGCACTTCAGCTCAGCCCTGTCCCGAGAGGCAGTGGCCCCCAGGCGCCCGGGCCCCACCAGCAGGGGCAGTGTGACCGTGCCCAATCCCCATAGGCAGCGGCCCCCAGGTGCCCGGGCCCGACCAGCAGCGAGGTGAGCTTGTGCTCTCGCACAGAGGCAGCGGCAGCTCAGGCCGCACCACACCACAGCCCCAGCTGCTCTGGCTGGACCAAGCCACAGGCCTAGCTTCCCCAGCTTCCCTGTGCCACGGCCCCAGCTCCTTCGGCTGGACCGTGCCCCGACCCCAGCTCCTTTGGCTTGACTGCACGCGCCCCCCCACCAGCTCCAGCAGCTTCGGCTTGGCCTGTGCTCAGGCTCCAGTGACTTGGCACCAGCAACTTCGGCCCAGCGCACTCCAGTTCCAGCTTCTTTGGCCCAGCTGTGCTCCAGCTCCCCCTCCTTCAGCCCAGTGCACTCCAGCTCCAGCTTCTTTGGCCCAGCGGTGCTCCAGCTCTTCCTTCTTCAGCCCAGCGCACTCAGTTCCAGCTTCTTTGGCCCAGCAGCGCTCCAGCCCCTGCTTCTTTGGCCCAGTGGCACTTCATCTGCAGCTGCTTCAACCCAACTGCACCCGAGCCCCAGCTGCTTCGGCCTAGCTGTGCTCCAGCCTCAGCTGTTCCCACACTCCAGCTCCAGCTGTCCCCACACGTCCCCCCCAGCAGCCTCCACTCAGCCATGCATCAGATCAGCCAGGGGCTGACAAGAGTGCCCACAGATTGAGGTGGGCCAGAATACACAGCCCTTGACCCCCACCCAGCGGCAGCAAGAGGAAACTGCGACCATATATTTTCACTACGAGAAAAGTAAGCCAATACTGACAGGCACCATGCAAAAAAATATTAAATCTCCAGACCAAAAGGAAAATGAAGAGCACCCAGAAGTCAACTCAGAAAGCACAGAAATGTATTACCTTAACGACAGAGAATTCAAAATAGCCATCATAAAAAACCTTAATGAAATACAAGAAAACACAGACAGTTCAACGAAATCAGGAGTTTCTTCACAAAAGAGATTTAAACTGTAAAAAAAAAACAATCAGAAATCTTAGAGATGAAAAACACAATGGAGTAGATAAAGACAAATCTGGAAGCCTTAAGCATCAGAGCTGACAACATGGAGGAAAGAATTAGCAGTATTGAGGACAGCAATGCAGAAATGCTCCAGATGGAGAAGGATAGAGAGCTAAGACTAAAAAGAAATGAAGAAACTCTCCAAGAAATATCCGACTCAATTAGGAAATCCAACATAAGGATTATAGGTATTCCAGAGGGAGAAGAGAGGGAAAAAGGAGCAGAGAACTTGCTCAAAGAAATAATATCTGAGAACTTCCCAAACCTGGGAAGGAGCTGGAAATACCAGTAAATGAAATAAATAGATCTCCTAAATATATCAACACAAAAAGACCCTCTCCAAGGCATATAGCAGTAAAGCTGGCAAAAGTCAACGACAAAGAAAAAATATTAAGGGCAGCTAGACAAAAAAAAATAACATACAAAGGATTTCCTATCAGGCTCTCAGCTGATTTCTCAACAGAAACTTTACAGGCTAGGATAGAGTGGAATGAGATATTCAAAATTCTGAAGGACAAAAACTTTCAGGCAAGAATACTCTATGCAGCAAAAATATCCTTCAGATATGATGGAGAAATAATAACTATGCCAGATAAACAAAAGCTGAGGGAGTTCATTGTCACAAGACCCCCACTACAAGAAGTGCTCAAGAAGGCCCTCATCCCTGAGGTA